TATATATATATATAATATCAAGTGATTCTAATTATTTGTTCTTTACTCATTTATTATCATTTTATTCGAACAATTGCTCGAATCAAACTCATTTTCTCAAGCGAGCCGGCCTTTGAGCTGACTTGAGACTGTCAATTAAGCATGGAAGGATTTTTCTAGTGTTTTTGCATGGAAGGAATTTTCTAGCGTTGCTATAAATTTTACTTTATCAGCTATTCATGGTTCTTTAATTGTTTATCTATCTGATGTCCTTTTTGTTTTCGTGTTTTAATTTCTTTTTATACCATTTTCAGGTAAGCTATTACTTCTAACTACTATGGTCTTTCTAATTTATGTTCTCTTTATCTTTTCATAAAAGGTAGTTTAAATTGTGATTTGAACTCTTGAACAACTGTATTTGAAAAAGACATGGTTTAAGATGATACTTTTTTTATCAATTGACTTTTGGAATTCCTAGTTCCTTTTTATTTATGTATGCAAATTGTGTTTATATTAAAAAAATGGGTTTTTTTTTAATTCTTTCAGGATACTCGCCTGCCAAATTCCCTCTCTTATGGATCATCTGCAGACTCTGTGCAGAAAGAGCCTTGGCGTCCTGATGGGCCTCCAGACAAAAAGGATTGGAGAAGGGCTGTTCCTGATGTTGAAAATAGTCGACGTTGGCGTGATGAGGAAAGAGAGACTGGTTCGCTTGGTAGGAGAGATCGTAAGAAAGAAGGTGATCGAGAAACTGATCACCGAAAAAATGACCGCCGCTCCGAAATTGCTTCCGCAAGAGATTCTGGTGAATCTAGGACTCTGCCGTCCTCTGATAGATGGCATGAAGTGACGGGTCGTAGCACTGGCCTTGAGAACCGGCGTGATAGTAAGTGGTCATCACGATGGGGGCCAGAGGAGAAGGAGACACGCACTGACAGAAAAATAGATGGCGACAAGGAGGACCAAATTGCTGAAAAGCAAACATTTCTTAGTAGCAATCGGCCATCTGAATCTGAAACACGTGATAAGTGGAGGCCACGACATCGTCTGGAGATCCATTCCGGTGCTTCAACAGTTTATCGTGCTGCTCCAGGATTTGGATTAGATAGAGGACGGTCAGAAGCTTCGCAGGTTGGGTTTGCTCTTGGAAGGGGCAGGGGAAGCCTTCTGGGAGGCTTATCCCAGCACAGGACATCTTCAGCTGGACCTATTGGTGCTGCACCTTTAAGCAGGAGTTATGCTGACCAAGGGAGATCTGGTTTATTTGCAGAGCTGTTTCGCTACCCAAGGGGTAAACTTCTTGACATTTATAGGAAACAGAAGATGCTGCCTGATTTTGAAATTGTTCCTGATGGTTTTGATACTCCTCCTATGACACAATCAAAGTCTATGACACCATTGGCATTCGTCTCACCGGATCCTACTGAGGAGGTCAGTTCCATTCTCTTATGTGTGACTGTTCTTTTATGTTGCCGTTAGAAGCTTTTTTTTTTAAATGGTGCAATCGAAGTTCTTGTCTTTTAGTTTCTATAACTTGGACATCATCGTTTTAATCAATGTAAATGGTTCTCAGTCTCTTTTAGAAGATATATCAAAAGGAAAGGTCACTGGAAGTGAAGTGTTGTACAGTACAAGCAGAGAGCAGAAAGCAAACGTTGACTACAGTGAGATAGGTGATTACTATCCTGCACTACTTTTCTATTTATTTAGTCATGTGCTTATTTACTTATTTTTTTTATTCTTGGATTTGAGCTCAGAGGCTACGTCTTATCCTATTCTTTCTGCTGCTGATGCTTCCACCGAAGGTATTGGTATGGCATGCCCTACTTATATATGCAGTATATTCTTACGGATGCCTTTATGTTAGTGTCGAGTTTTTATTTATTATCTTAGATTGTGTTCCTGCAGTTTCTGGAGTTACATTGAACCCTTCATTCAGTGATACAAAATTTGATGCTGAGATTTGCAAAGTTTCAGATCATTTTGCGGCGGGGAATTATAAACTGGGGCCAAAGCAGCACCTTGATGAGAAGGATGCTGGAACAATGTCAGCTGCTCCTTACGATATTAGCATTAAACTACCTGATGATTCAATTTCTTTGTTCGAGTCTTCTTTTGCTGAGGAAATTCCAATAAATAAGGGAGATAAACACGAGAGTACTGAAGTGAAACATCTGGAGCTGGCCTCCCATGAAGAATGGAGTTTGTTCTATCAAGATCCTCAAGGAGACATTCAGGGACCATTTTTGGGTGTTGATATAATTTCCTGGTTTGAGCAGGGTTTTTTCGGTTTGGATTTACCTGTTTGTTTATCTGATGCTCCAGAAGGTACCCCATTCCGGCCTTTAGGTGAAGTGATGCCACACTTAAAATTTAGGTTTAATTCCACCATGGAAGTTTATTCTGAGGAGCTGTGTGATCCTTTTTTGGATACCTCAAATGATAAATTTGAGGTCATCGGCTCACTGGCTTCTAATTTTGTTGACCAAAGTTTGAAAACAGCTGCGCCTGTCTCTGATTCAATGGTCAGTCATGAATGTCAACCTAGTGTCTTAGATGTAAGAGGCTACATGGAAACTCCTCCAACTGGGAGGACACTGGTTTCTGAGCTTGAAGCTTCTGCCACTATTCCAGCTTCTGAAAGTCATACCCTTCATGATTTTCCAGGACAAGATACTGAAGGTTAGTTATCCTTTTTTCCCCCGCATGCATGCATGCATACATACATACGCTACAGCATGTTTGCTAACATTCTTTGATTTTTTTATTACCAAGTAATGTGTCGATCTTTATATTCTGCAGAGGTTCTATATACTGGAAGGTGCATGAATGAAGTTGAGAAATCTCTAGAGATGACAGCTAATGATGAATCTAATTCCTCTTGCGCTAATCTTGGTCATCAATTTCTGTCCAGTGAAATTGGGCAACCTCACATGTCTAGTCATAAAAATCATAGTGACAATGATATTAATCCGCTTGGATTGCTGTGGTCTGAGTTGGAAGGTTCACATTCTCGGCAGCCCATATCATCCACTATGGCTGGTATAGATGACCCCATCCGAAATCTTAACCCTTCGGTATTAGACCCCCTACTCTACATGCATAAGCAGGACCAGTTTAATCCATCTAGTAACCAAGCTTTTCCACCAGACGCATGGCCTAGCGCTTCCATCCAAAGCAACAGGTCAAATAAAATTCAAGATGGAATTGATGCAGCTCATTTTCCACATTTTGAAGATGAGTTTAGCCACCTCAGTATTCAAGACCAGCTACTGCTTCATCAGCTTCAAAAACAGCAACTTCAGGAACATCTTCCTTCTCATCAACACATGCATTTAGGCGAATCATTTGTGGTGCCAGAGCAGGGTTCTCTGCACCACAGAGCTAACAATCAATCCATGCTTGATATTGAGCATCTAATTAAACTGCAGCAGCTTCAAGAACAGCAGCATCATCTTCAGCGTTTACATGAGCAGCAGCAACTGCAGCAACAACAGCAACAATTGCAGCAGCAACAACTTTATCAACAAATGCAACTGCTGAAGCAGCAGCAACAACAAGAGCAACAACAACAGTTACTGATCGAGCATATGCTGCAGCGGCAAGCGCGCGAGGCACTTCTACGGGATGGCTCCCTCGATCAGATATTACTTCGACAGCACATTGCACGAGAGTTGGAACATCAGCCTCATCATTTCCAACGGAATCAGGATCTAGTGTTAGAGCAGTTTTTGAAAGCAAAACTTGGCCAAAATCTTCACCATGAGCAACACAATGATTTGTTGGATGTCCTTTCTCGTCAGAAGCATATGTCTACACTCTCTTTGGAAGAGCAAATTTTCTTGAGACTTCAGCAAGAGCAGTTGCAGGCAAGGCAGTTATCTCTTGCTTCTAGGCATAAGCGAGGCATGGAAGAGGACAGGCATGTTGGCAATGTCTGGTCTGTTGACGAATCGGGTCAGTTCATGAGAACAGCTGCTAGTGCTCAGCACCCTCATTTAAACAGGCTTAACCAGATGGATTATATTCAATCCCTGCAGCCGCCTTCGCCATTTGAGCAGGCAGGCTTACTTGAGCAGAACCTCATGCTACATGAGCGGATGCAGCAGAATCCTTACGAAAGAAATACACATCCTTTCGATAGTTCAATTCATATGTCTCGTAGCCCTCCTGAGCCAAATGCAGATGTTTTAAACGTGATAGCACGGCTGCAGGGGTTGGACATAGCAGAAATCCGTGGTCACATGCATCCTCCAGTTCAATCAAGGCAGTTCCATCCTGTTAATCCTCATGATCATCACATCTCAAATCAATTATTTAGGCCTCGTTTGGATGTGATTGATGGCCAATGGGCCGACTCGAACGGGCAGCAGCGTCCTAATAATTTGGTAGAAGCACAGTTAAATCAGCTTCATTATGAAGCTGAGAGACAGAAGCGGGATTTGAGGGGAAGTCTGTATAACATGGAATCAACTTCATGGGCAGCACTTGCTGGAAATGAGAACATAAAGCACGGAATAGATGATTTTTTCCAGCAGCAATTGGTTCTCCAACCTTCTCAGCCTTTGGAGTTACTTGATACTACCGCTCCATCCTTTGAAGATAGGGACCCCAACTGGTTCACAAACCCTTCATTGGATAATTCTTTTGCTGAGGGTTCCAATTTAAATAAGGTGTTTATGCAGCAGGATGTAGTGGGGAATCCTAGTGTCGAAATAGATGGCGGTGATTATGATTTAAGTGGAGAGTTGGCTTTAAGGACTAGATCTAGCTTGTCTATTGAGCAGAACCAGTTCTTTCATGAAGCAGATGAGATCGAGAAGGAACTAGCTGTTGATCCTGTTGTCAATGATTCTTCTGGTGATAGGGTCGATTTCTTAGATTTGAAGGATGGGAAGAGGCTTAAGCAGCGCAATGCAAGAAGTAAGCGTAGTACAAGGGGTAAGGCCCCGAACAATCCTGATCAAGCTGTTGGGTCTTTTTCAGAAGATCATGAGGTGCAAAGCAGTGCACCTATTAGACATACTTCATTGGGCAGCAATGGTACTACAAGCTGCTTACAACCTTTATTTTCTGTCTTGTATTATTTTAATGGGAAATTTACGTACATACCTCTTATTTATTTACGTATCTAACACCCAATGTTTGATATTTTGCATTTATATCTCCCATATCTTTCATATCGTATAAAAATAAGACTTTTTAACTTTTCAAAAGTGAAATGCGCCTTTCCATGCATAGGTAAGCTGGTATTATGTAAAAATTGAAGTTTAGGTTTGAGGTATGTAAATACATAGGAATCGAGTGGTATGTATGTAAATCTTCCTTTTTTAATTCTCTAGTCATGTGAGCTAACTCCTTTTATACTTCAGCCGGGGGTTTGAACTTCTACAATTATGAGACGAGTACAGATAATGTTTATGGTGAAGGAATGTCCAGTAGCAGGTACATTGCTCATTTCATGTAATATGTTTCAGCTTTAGAAATTTAGCTTATAGGTATTTAGTGTAGGGTAAAAATGAACAGTGAAACAGGATTAAATTGATTGGAAGTACTACTGCAGGGTCAAGCAGTTCCTAGATTTCTTTGGATTTTAGTTACCTTTGATTATATGCTAAATAATAAGATGTGGATGAAAATCTAATTTCCATACTTAAAAGAAGTATATTAGGTATATTTTATAATAAAATAATATCATAAGGATTCAAAAATAAATTTACAAAATTATAATTAAGTCAAGTATTTTCTTTAATTCACTTGTGAACACCTAGTAAAATTAAGGTTATTGTTCCTTGGTAATGTGTATTAAGAATGATAAATAAAAAGAAAAATGGGTGAATATAGCATGCCTAGAACTGTATAAAAAATAAATTATACTTGAGGTGATGTTTTATTTCAGAACTGTTGTATTATTTACTTGCCCTCATTTCAAATAAATTCATTGAATTCGAACCCGCCATCCTAAACGAAATCATTCCATGTTTGAAGTGCTTATTCTTGTATTTTTGTTCTGCTGATTCAGATCACTAAGAATTCTTGACAGAGGGTCTGACAGTGCCTCATTAAAGCACGCCCAAGACCCCTTGACTTTATCAACTCAAGGGTCTCTGTCTGAGTTCATCTCTGCTCCCACCATCGAAGCCAAAAATCCATCTGGTTTTCCTTCTTCTGAAGGTATGATAAGTTTAATCTAGTTTGCCTTGCAAGCAATATTACAAATTTGGTAAATTTACATACATTAAAATTGGTATTTTTAATGTGATATGAAAGATTTGGATTGTATTAATTTAAGAGGTAAAATTTAAATGTTAATATTTCAATGCATAGGAATTAGATGTTATGCATATAAAGACCCATAATTAAAAAAAAAAAAGAACTGTCACCAACTCTCATTCTGTTATTGTTTTCTGCAGCTTCTGCTTCTGGCATCTTAAAGGACTTGAGATTCCGTAGAACTTCTTCCACTGACATTGAACTCCCTGAGACTTCATTCATCGACATCATCAAAAGCTCTAAGAAACCTGCAGAATCCGAAACTCATCCCGGCAGCTCTCACGATCTCTTGGAATCCGGACAAGGTGTGAAGACTGCGAAGAAGAAAGGCAAGAAGGGAAGGCAGATAGATCCTTCCCTCCTTGGATTCAAAGTCCACAGTAACCGCATCATGATGGGCGAGATTCAACGCCCCGATGACTGATTCCCTTTCTTTCCATATCTTCTCACATTTAATCTATTGTGTATACACTTCTCAATTCTTTCTCTTTATGTTTTCCCAACTGCTCCGGCTGTAAAGATTGGAGGGTTCAGTTTTGTTAATTAGAAGAGCCCTTTCCATGAGTTCAATAAATGAGCTTTGATACGAGTAAAGTTTCTGTACAGGATGGTTTGGTTGCATCAATCAGTTTGGAGAAAAAGCTTAGACGGACTTTACAGGTTTGGGCCTCTAAATTAACCAATTTTATGCATTCTTGTGCTTTTGATAAACATTTATTTTATTGATGGTATTCCTTTTTCAAATTTGAAAAGAGTTGGATCGATTTGTTTTAACTAAATTATCTTTGTGATGGAAGATTGGGCTTTAATTCCATCAGAATAAGATATTTTGAAGGAAAAAAAAAAGGTTTTAATTTATTCATTCAATTTTTTCTTTTTGCAGGTGTCTTGTGGATTATGATTCATTAATCGAATATCTATTCGTCTCATGGCAAATTTAATAGTATAAAATGTGTTTTTATTAAATTTTGTAAAGATATCTTTACCAAGACTTTGTCCGCCAATTCTTGGTTCTGGCATTATTGCGCCGAACTTTATCTTCATTAGCTGGTCTCTGCCTCTAATGAAGATAAAATATTTGCGTACATAAGACGTACGCAACGCTGCGTACGCCCAGGGGTTATTCAGGGGGTACAGGGGAGTTATATCGGGGTTGTAGCCCTCTGTAACCTCCTGTAACCTACAAATGAGTTTCGCGCTTCTGTAGTTTCATAGGAGCAAATAAGTTACACGGATGTTACATGGGAGTTACACGGAGGTTATAGGGGGTATAAACCGGAAATAACCCCCCTGTACCCCTGAATAACCCCTGATGCAGCGTTGCGTACATCTTATGTACGCAAATATTTCCCCTGCCTCTAAGCGCTATCCGGTTGTTTAGAGTTTAATGCATTCGGTTTATATTTTGTGTTTTTGAAGTCACTATGGGAGGGAATGCCTGGATCCAAGTAGTGTTTATTAAATCCTATAATCAAAATCCAATTTTTTGTTTGTGTATAAATATATTTTGCCGGGGTTAAAACGCAAAATTGCATGGATATGTAAAAGGGCTGGTTATTAAATCCTATAATCAAAATCCAATTTTTTGTTTGTGTATAAATATATTTTGCCGGGGTTAAAATGCAAAATTGCATGGATATGTAAAAGGGCTGGTTACTCCTCTAGGGTTTTGCAATAGTTTTGTAAGGTGATATGGTTCGCCAGAAAATAAAGTAATTTTTATCTGAGTTTATTAATCTAAAATTTAGGATCACTTTTACTATTATTATTTTTATACCTATTATGTTTTTTGTTTTATGTTTGATTTAAATAAAATCATTTTTTGATCGAGGAAATTTTTTAAAAATACATAGTATTTTAGACGTTTTGAATATTTAAAAAATAAGACAATGCAATTAGAAATAGAACTCATTGACTAATAAAAGTTATAATTCATGATTCCCTTTGTGCCGAACAAAGCTCCAAGATTCAATCTAATCTACGATTGAATTGTTAGTTCAGTTGAACGCTGGTGTAAATACTTATATCAAATTAAAACATTCGTTTAGGGTTTAGGGTTTAGACTAACTAATAAAAGTTAAAATCCGTAATTAATTACATTGCTATTTCATCGTACTGCAGCGCATAGGATGCATGATGGGCTTCATACGTTTATTCTCTTTTAACTAATATTATAGAAATAAATTCATAGTTTTATAATACTAATTTATTTTTACACCAAATTTTTTTCGATTTTCACTTCGCAAATTATAGTATCATTTGATGATTCATTTTTAAAGTTAACGTTATTATTTTCTTTTTTTTGAAACTTCATAATTTTAATTATCAACCTTCTTTTCTTTTCATTTATAAGTACACACAAACATATATATGTATGTATGTATGTATATGTATATATATGTATGTATGTATATATATATATATGGTGTTAAATATGTAAATAAATAAATAATTGAGTCTTGAGTATGTCATAAAAAAAATAAAAAAAAAAAAGGCGGGAGATAGCAAATTTAAAGCGCCAAGTTTGCCCTTCATCAACAGAAACCCTCTTGTACTACCACATGAATAACAGCCAATGCATCCGTGTTCGTTGGCGGCTCCGCCGTTTACATCGCCGGCGATCCTCCGATCATCATCCTCCATCGAAAACATTTATCTCCGCATTTATTTGGTCGGATCACGCAACCCTCAATACTGCAGCCCCTTCTCTATCGGGGATGCCGTCACTAGGTTTGCCCGCCATCTTCCTCAGCTTCTTTTTATAACTTTTTTTTAAAAAAAAAAATATGTGAGGTTGAATGCGCAAAACTTGGTGCTCCATAATGTACTTGTTATCAAGCGAATGGTATTTAGGTTGAGTATGTACTTCCGCAAGTTCTAGCTAGAGCTTATTGAGGAGGGATTATCTGGCCTTTTTTGCTTATTATCTGAACGATCCTGTCTGAAATCATTTAATTTAAACGATGATTTCTGCTAGAAATTCTATTCTATGAACTCGTTTGTGTATTTCCTGTTCAAGCTATAGTTTCATTTTGCTTATTTTGATCGTGAATTGTGAAATTTGGAATTCTTAGGCTCTTATTTAGTTACTCTTGTATTATTCTCTACTGGGTCATGGAGGTTTTTGTTAGTTTATGCATGTTATTGTTGTTTAGTCAGTTAATTGCTTTAGCCTTTTGAACTGGTTGGGTTGGCATTCTGATCTGAGATTATTAGATGTTTAGTTTTTTTGTTAGGTCAATTAGAGGTGTAAATTGGTTAATAGATTAGTTCAAGATGAATTAAGGGCCTTATATTCTTTTTACATAGCCTCCGTTTAGAGGAAAAAAAATATTAAGCGCGGACAAGACATGTGGATTTGGTGGCATTCCACACGTAATATTCGCTCCATTTGGAGACATTCGGATGGATGTAAAAAATGTGGTGAGTTCTTCTGCTATTCTATGTTTTCTTCTTCAATTCCTCTTCCTTATTTTTTAGAGTTGCCAAAATTATGGAGTTGCTATTTATCGTTCTCAAATATGAGTTTTTCTTCTATATATCCTTATCATATAACTTCTACAGTTGCCAGCATCCTTAATTTGTTGATCATCAAGATCCCAAGAATATGTTTGTATCACATTCATGGCATAATATAGGTATTTAAAATGGTATATATTGGCCTTACTTTCAATTTAAAAGCTTGGAAATGCTATACAACATGTATCATTTCTCGGGCTTGTCTATCATATTGCATCACTGGCTGGTAAACATGGTCTTGCATGTTTTGTTAAGTTTCAACTCCAAACTGTATAGTCACTTTAGATGAATACACTTCCCACATCCAATGTCTCAATTAGGGTTGTAAAAAGTCAAGTTGACCTCGAATCAACCTTGACAGGAACTTGTGCTTGTTTAGTTAATCCAATTCAAGCTTAATTTTAAGTGTTTGAGTTGATTCATGAACCAAATCATTTTGTATGAACTGGAGAAAATAATATTAATTCAAACTATTTTTATAATAAAATAACAAATATAATGAACATTCAAGAAATAGTTAATAAGAAATCATCTAATATAAAATGTTGTATAGGGTGAAAATGTCATGACGAATATCAAAGGGATCAAACGGTCAAGACAAAGACTCAGACGATCGAAGTTCTGAACCAAAGAGCGAATAATAACGTATAACTGTTGATCGAACACCACAAATCGATCAATCGCATACTTGGCACCCGACAAATCTGGTGACCGACAAACCATCTAGTGAGATGATGCGATCGAGTGATAAAATGACTTTCATCGATTGACTAGATCTCTCGGCGGAGAGCATCAGATTGATCAACTTAACCGGTCGATGCTAAACTTTAGACAACCGACATATATTTTGTTTTCGTTCTATTATAATATGACTCTCATTCGACGTGTTATTTGAGCGGTTATCATAACTGTTCCCTTCTTTTTGTAATTATATTTTGAGGCCATTATAAATAGTCAGTCATGAAATAAATAAAGACAAAACATTTTCTCTCTCACTCTACTCTCTATCTAACTTTTTTCTCCTCTCTGCTCTAATTGTCGTGGCGTGTTTCTCGTAAGAAAATTTAGGATTTAACAAATTTAAATATTATATTTAAACATTTTTAAAATTTTAAGGATAAAATCTTGAATTTAAATGTATTTTTAATATACTTTATAATAATATTTTCTTAAAACAAGCTGGCTTGAGAATTAACAAGTCGAGTTGGGGTAGGCTTGAGCTTGAGCTTGTTAGCTCTTTGAGCTCAACTAACAAGCCATTTATTGAGCCAAGCCGAGCTGGCTCACGAGCCAGTCTGGCTCTGTTACATTCCTAGTGTCAATCAACTCATTAGGCATGTACATATACCCTCCTTTGTAAAGTTTCACGCCTTATTGGTTCTCTTATAGGAAGGATCATTGTGAAGTTTTTCTTTGTATTTTTTTTAGGGATAAGTCGCAAAATAGTTTTCTGTCTATCTGTATGCGGTTGATTTAGTCATGGAGTTATCACATTTCTGTAATTATGTAACATTGAATTTTCTTTCAGAGTGATACAATTCATTATTTGGCCCTTCCACCAAGTTGAGTTGACATTCCTGACATCAAGTGGGCATGAACCGTTTTTTATCAATGTTAATAGATTGATTTGCATAACCTTTATTTAATATATACTTGTAATCTGTCTTTGAGCTTTATAATTTTTTTCAAGTTCTTAAAATATTTTCTGACACTCAAGTATGAATTACATTGCTGGCTGCAAAGAATCATGCAAAGTCATCATAGTTAGTGTTGAAACTCAGAATAATGCAGAATACATAATTGTTTCATAACAAATTCGATAATCCAAACGATCAATTTTTCTTAACTAATCAACAAGTTAAGAATTATTAACATACATTTCAAATTTGAGGAGGAGTGTTAAGAATTATAATAGGAAATAATTTATTCCTATAGAAAGTTATGAGGAATAAATTATTTTCTTAGAATAAGAAGATAATTAATTATTAGAGATATCAGTTGATATATCTTTCCTTTCATATCATTTACTTTTTATTATTTTTTCTATTATAGGATTCTTGTAAGGGTTATTTACACCCCCGTTCATATCAATGAAACAATTATGTATTCCGCATTATTATGAGTTTCAACATGGTATCAGAGCAAGGTTTCGTACCCTGTTGTCTTCCCCACGCCACCGGTTCTCCTTTGAAAATTGTTGGACTCCCTTCCTGCCATCCTCTATGCAGGAGGGGAGGAGCACTTATCTTGATATTTGAAACAACGACTTTTTCTTCACTACTCAAACCAACTTGGTCTTGTGCTCGTAAGCAAGGGCTCCAGCCAGGGTGGGACCAACGATGCCGCACCCCGCCTCATCGTCTCACTGTCGTCGATCGGACAATGCTGGCAAAATCCATCGCCGACCCTTCCTCCTGTAGTATTTTTTTGCTTTCCTGCCAAAGCGTCAGGGGGAGTTGCGTTTCCAGCCGGTCATTTCTCATGCTTTCTTCTCTGCCAAAGTGTCAAGGGGAGCTGTGTTTCCAGTCTGTCAGTAGAATTTACTGGGTGTGATTTACATGTTTTTTTTCTGTAGCCAACGATAACCGCGATTAACTAAAAATCAGTTTTCCTGTAGGTTGTTTCTTTCCCTGCAAAACTCAAAATTCAGCCAAGTTTGAATCCAACAAATTCAGCAAAGCCTGAATCTCTCTTCTACGCCGAAACATATGACAGACAAAACTCAAAATTCAACCAAGTCTGAATCCATCAAATTTAGCATAGCATGAATCTCTCTTTTACGTCGAAATTTATGACAAACAAAACTCAAAATTCAGTCAAATCTGAATCTAGCAAATTCGATAATCCAAACGATCAATTTTTCTTGACTACTCAGCAAGTTAGGAATTATTAACATACATTCCAAACTTGAGGGGAGTGTTAAAAATTATAATAGGAAATGATTTATTCCTATAAAAAGTTATGAGGAATAAATTATTTTCTTAGAATAAGGAGATATTTTCTTTCCTATTTTATTTTTATTTCCTTAGATTATGAATTATTTGTTTTTATATTTTATGTTATTTCCTATATCTTCTAATAATTAATATGAATTAATTATTGGAGATATCAGTTGGTATATCTTTTCTTTCATATCATTTTCTTTTTATTATTTTTTCTATTATAGGATTCTTGTAAGGGTTATTTATACCTTCATTCATATCAATGAAATAATTATGTATTTAATAACCTTATCAGCAACACCCTCAAGTCATTCACGTTGATTTTCGGCAAATCCAACGATTTGTCTTATTTTTGTAACGTCCCCAACACCTTTTGTTCCTAACTTATATGATATTATTGTCAGTACAACGGTGAGCATGCCACAGTTTTTTGTCCGAACAAATGCAAATGCTTCTTGGTCAAATATTCTTGAGTACTTCCAAGTCTTTCTAGCATTAGCAATTTCAAGTTTCTCTATAGTATCACTGTCTTTGCAGATGTGGGTGTTCTAACGATGAGATGAGGATATGTACAGGAACACCCATTTTATCAGCGCATGATAACAAGAGACTATAAGAGTGCATGCCAGTATAACACATTTGCAAAACATATAACATTTGACATAATCCTCTATCTTGGTTTGTCAACTCTACAAATGTTAATAAAAATATTGCAACTGTATCCTTTAAGATAGTCCTAGACTGAAGAAGTTGTCGAATTGATGTTAAACATTCCAGATTTCGTGTTATTGACATCATGTCTTCTTGGAAAAATCTCTTATACTGTTGTTTAATATAATCCCAAGCATTTTTCATGTTAGTCTCTTCTTTAACAACCAATGTCAACGAAAAAACACATATGTATGTTTCAGAGCGTTCCCATACTTGGTAATGTTCTTCATCCATTTCTTTATTACTCGGAGGCTCATAAGTATATTCTTTTCCCCCTGTTATCTCACAAACTGTTCGCTGATCAAGTGTTGTCGCAGATGTCGACTTCTTTAACATCCCAGTCTTTCGATTTTCAAACAGGTATTTTGTTGGATCTTCACATGATCTGAGACCTCAAGCACATTCCATAATGCTTGCAACAGCTGAGAACTTACAACCTGTGTCAATGATGAAAGTGCAACTGATAGGATTTTCTCTTTTCCTTTTCTATCATAATTAAACCAATCCTTGACATTAATGTGCTCTTTCGCTCGTAGGTTTGCATTCTGGTATGTGCTC